TAAATAGACAATATTATTTATCTTACAGGGTTACTGCGAAGATTAAATTAGGTAATAAAGGCACTTTTGGGTCCTTTCTCCTAAGGGTAATTGCTGTGACGTGCTGTTTAACGACATTTGCCATTACCTGCTTTAGCCCTTGTGGCCCCTTGATAGCCTAGTCATAGACTTCTAGAGGTTAAAGGGAGCCAGTGTGTTCTTCTGATTCAGCCAACTTTCTTAAAGCAGGTGAGTAACCCTGCAATTTTAGACATGTGGTTCTGTTGCTAAACCCCACAAACATGGGCTAATTGCAAGGAAGCCTAGTCTCAATTAGAGAGTACTTGTTAGAAAAAAAGCAGTAGAGCCAGGTGGCGGTCCCTGTGGGCCTGCTTTGAAATAGAGACCCAAATCGCAAGCTAGTGTTATCAATTGTTTATTAATAAGTGCTTCCAAAGTGCTTGAAAGTTCTTAAATCCTTTCCTTCCAATTCCAGTCTTATCCATACTCTTGGTTCTCGCTGGGTAGGATTTCTTTGTAAGGTGAAAAAAACTCTGAAGCTCGGAGATGGGATTATTGGATTCCAGTCCTGTCTCTGTTTCTAGTTTCCTAAAAGGGTCACAGGTCTCTTCGTATGCTCATCTGTCATGCGGGGGATAAGAGTGCCTGCCTTTCCATCCTAAGAGTTACATGGATAAAAAAGTTATCCTGAGGGAATTAGAAACAGAGGACATTATTTTAGCAGTCTTCCATCATAAACAAGTATTGCAGTCTCTTACTAACACAATTTTGGAATTAATTAATAAGACTTTTCATTTTTTTTTTTTTTTAAATTGAATGGTCGTATAACCCTGAGATAGTCTAATGAATCAGATGAATTGGCAGGTCTCCATGTCTGCCTTTTGAGACCTATTATTTATAGTTTCTTTGAGGGCAGATAGGGATAGCATAGATAAAGATGTCACACACATTGTTATTGGCGAGGACCTTAGGTATCATTTCGTCTGACTTTTTTGTTCAATTGATGAAACAGACCCAGTATTAAAAATACTTTTTCTGAGATCTGACAGTATGTTACTGGCAGAACTCCCGGTCCAAAGTTCTTTACACTTGGGGGCACCTCTTCTTTTTCTGTTTCCCACTTGAGTCAGAAAAGAGCACTTGCTCTGGATTCTCTTCCCTTATGGGCAGGAGGGTGGCGAGAAAAAGGCAAGGCGTACAGAAATCGACACGTCTTCTGCAGCTTATTTTTTTCCTCCACTGTTACCTAGAGTGTCCTGAATGCCAGTGTGAAGTGACCGGAGTGTGGGGAGCTGGTCAGTGACGGCATTCAGGTTAGCTTCTTTTACCAAACTAGGTGGTGCTAGGTTGGCTCTCACCAAGCTGCTGTCACTCTTCAGCCCCAGACCCACTGATTGATTAATTGGTCCCACCCCATCCTGCCATCACCCTGTTTTACCAGGTTGGCTTCCTGGTGAAGAGACTGCAGTAGGGCAGAAAAAACTAAAATCCCTCTGGCTTTTTTCCCCTGAACAATCCTGAGGGTGCTACCTCAGCAACAGAAAAAAACAGCTGTCTCCTTGCTTCTCAGTATAACCAAAGGGGCACTAGATATTATAGGACTGGATATTATACTTATCTCAGGTTTAAATTTTTATCCTGCTCTCTCATTTTCCACCTTCACACTTTCTTCTTTGCTTATATCTGGATGACCTCAAGAGGTTAAGTAGTACATGAGTGGTGGCCTGGTCCAGCAGAATTGCAGGTAATGGTTTCTCTGTGATCCCCAGTCATTCTGGTTTTCTCTAAGATCAATTTTTCTGATAATAGAAAGTAAAGTTATCACTGTGTATACTCAGCTGAGGGGCCTGAGGGTGGTTTTTCTAGAGACTGAAGATGACCCGGAGTTATTTCAGTTCAGATAGTTTCTATTGATCTTTCTTCAAGTTTCAGTGACTCTTCTCTGCCATCTCCATTCTGTTCTTAAGCTCATTCAGAATTTCAGATACTGCTTTTCTGTTCTAAAGTTGCTACTTTAAAATTCAGTTTCTCTGCTTAGTTATAATAGGTGCTTGAATATCCTTGTCTGATAATTCCAATATCTGGGTCCTCTTGGATTTGCCCTCTGCTGATTATCTTTTCCCTTGGAAAGGGGTTTACTTTTTCTAGTTCTTTATGTAATTTGGGATTGTATCCTGAACATGAATGAATGTGAATGTTATGTTATGGAGACTGGTTTCTGTGGATGTTTTCGTTTTAGTAGGCAATTAACTTACTTAAAATGGCAAACTCTGTCTCACCTGCAGTGGGTGGCAGTTCAAATCTTAGTCTAGTTCTTTTGTCCTTAGCTGAGATCGTTGGGTTCTGCCCTGTGCATGCAAGGTTTAGGGGTTCAGCTGGAGATTTGGGAAGAGTGTACACACAGAACTTGGGACTCTCCTCTGGTTCTCTTCTTTCTTCCCATTATCTGTGGCTGGTCTGGGCTCTGTCATCTGGTTCCTCTGGACAGAAAACTTAGGGATTATTTTTTAATTGGAACTTCAGCTGGACAGCCCTCAGGTCAAAGCTCCAAAAACGTGGAATTCATCCCATGCTAGTCCCTTCTTCCAGTTTTAAACCTCTCCCTCAAATCTATCAGCCATCGTTCACTTCATATAGTTAATTTTTTTTTTAATCCAGCTTTTATAGTTGTTACCCATGGGAAGATCATACTGGAAACAGAATTCTCTACTAGCATTTTTATCCATTATCAAAGTGTTTTGGGAACAAAAGTGATACACATTTGAGAGAGCGTTAGTCTTCAGCAGTCAAATGAGAATGGACCGATGCATTTCCTCAGTCATTCTCAACCATGTGGACTCAACCATGTTCACTTGAACTTGCTTTGCCACTTTGGATAAGTCTCTTCTCTCTGGGACTTACTTTCTCCTCTGGAAAATGAGGCAGTTGGACTCCCCATGATCTGTAAGGGTCCTTTCATTTCTGCTTCTCCACAGACACACGTGCACACATATGGACCACCACTGTCACCACCAACAGTAATGAGAGGCACAGAAAAGATGCCTAAGGGAAGTGCTATGCATGGATCTGTCAGCGTGGAAAACTCTCGAAGGGGCAGCATGAAAGAGTTTGAGGATGTTTACAGTCATCTTGTTTCTGGGAACAGAGGGCCAGTACGCTGGGAATGCAAGAAGTAAATGACATTCCGAAGCAAAGGAAAGAAATTATTTGCTGCTTGCTTCCACCCCTAAAAAATAAGGAATGTAGACAGTTGAAAACAAATCAGGATCATCTGGAGTTCCTGTTTGTTTGATTTTTGGCAGTGCATTCTATCCTGTTTTGAAGAGGATAGCCCCCTGGGCCTTAGTAATAGGCCAGCAAACTTGGCAGTAGGAGGTGGGGGCAGTAGCTGTCAGCAGGGATGCAGAGACCTTAGTAGAGATAGACCAGATTTATGTGGTTACTTCTTGGAGTTCAAAATTTGTGTGTGGGAGAAGTTCTAGTCTGTGCAGAGGAAGGTGGTGTGTGTGTGTGTGTGTGTGTGTACACGGTGAGTAGAGATGAGGAAAGAGACAGATGATACTGAGGGCAGGACAGGTCTGTGGACCGGTTCTAAAGCTGAGTAGCCATCACACTTACCTTACTTAGACTGACTCTTTTTTGCAAGTGTCTGCATGGCGGAGGGAGAGCTAAAGCTGCTCCCGCACCCATCAGGCCATCCTTTGGGTGCTGCCACTGGTGCAGATCTTTTTTTCCTACTATTTTCATTGCTTATCAATAATTCTTTTTTCTTAAGGTCTTATTGGCTTGAGGCTTCAGGCCCTCATCTTTTTTTTTTTTAAGTTATTTAAAAAACTATCATTTTATGATTTCTCTATCTTAAATTCTAGCCTTTTAGGAGGGATTCTATTGTGTGTATGTTACGGAGTTGGTGGTGGAGGTTTGGAAATGAGATGAAAGGGGCCAGCAGCCCTGGAAGGAGGTCAGAGGTGTTCTGCAGGATCTGGAAGGGAGGGGTGGGCATTGTGATGAAAGGAGAGAGGGATAGTTTGAGTGTAAGACCATCTACAAACGCTTTAGTTTCGCCACTAGCTTAGAAGCTACCTTTACATTCTTCCTCAAGACTAGGATAGACAGAAGTGACCCAGATCTTCCGCCTTCAGTAACTCTTCTCTGATTTTAGGGGTAAGATTCAGTGGGTTATCAGGCTTTTCGGCTCTCCTGTAGAAAGAGGGCTTATGGTAAAACCGAAGGGTAATAAGTTTGCAGACGGAAGCTCTATTTTTAGTTCTAATCGAGGCTGGGTGGTTCAGGGCCCTTTTGAGGACTCAGGCTAGAAGGCGACCCAGTGAGAGTCAGCACAGTGAAGTGGCTTTTGAGATCAGACAGACTTGGGTTTAAATCCTGACTGCCGTTTACCAGCAAGCTGTAAGACCTTGGACAACACTGCCTTCTTGAAATTTAGATTCTTTATCTATAAGGGGGTAACATTATTGTGTTATTGTCTTATATAAAACTTAAAACATGGTAGATACCCAACAGATGTTTCTTTTTTTTTTCTTCTTACCCATCTTCCAGAACATCTTATTTTTAGTAGAATCCCGGCTTTAGCCCCAAGCAATCGTGTGACTCACCCTTTCCAAGGTTCAGTTTCCTTCCTTAAAATGAGGGCATCTTGCTAGTGATTTCTGAGATCCTTCCCAGCTGTAAGGTGTCATATAAAGTTTTAGACTGTGGAGGGATGTCTAGGTCTGTTAATTTAAGGAAAGACAGTGTATTGTACCCTGGGACCATGTCACCTGGGAGGAAAGGGGAAGTCTCCAGGAGCCAGACTCCTCTCCCCTGGGAGGGAGAGAGTGCCAGCTTCCTTCACAGTCAGGATCTGGACTCAGCTCCTAACTCGTTCCTTTTCTGACAATAAACTATGGATGACGGTGTTTGGGACAGGCTTTTGGGTCAGCTCAGTCTTGATGCGATTCATATTTTACCTGTCTCTTCCTTTCTGTTTATATTCTATCCAGGCCAAGAGGCAACTGCCATTGAAAGATAGTGAGTGACCGTTTCTAGAACAGCAGGCATCGGGGGAGCAGCCAGAAGCATTGACGGAAAAGCTTAAATTACCTAAATGGTATGTTGTACGCTCGTAGATTGGGTGGTTTCTGAAATCTCTATAATTTTTCCATCATTATGAAAGGGAGGAAAGTCAATAGTTGTTGATGACCTATTATGAACCAAATACTAGCAATGTACTTCACATGGTTTCTCATTTAATTTAATCAGCCAGTCAGCCTAATGAAGGAAAATCCTTGCGTGAAGTCGACAACCTTGAGAAATAGGCCTAGATTCCTTTTACTGAATATTTACTATATGCCAGACCTAGTCCTATTTGACACACATCATCTCCTTTAATATTTACAGCAACCTTATGAAGTAAGTGCTGTTATTATCACCATGAAGAAATGAGCTTAGAGAGCTTAAATAACTTCTTCTCTAAGTTCACACAGATAGGACTAGATTTCAGACCTGCGATATTTTCATTGTACTTTAATGGCAGTAACTAACTTAACTTTTAAAAAGCAAAGCAAAATAAACAAATAAAAAGAACCCTTTTGATTGACAACTGGCTCCTTTCCTAGCCCTTTCTGGGTTCCGTGTGCCAGGAGTTTGTTGGTTGTCGTTGACCGAGGCGGTGGAGAGTACTAGCGAAAGAAGAAACTTGGGCAGTGAGTGCCCAGAAAGCCTTAGAGCCGAGGCAAGACCTTTGGAGTGTGTTTTATTCTAGGCAAGATGAGAACCACTGAGGGGTGGAGGGCTGGTCTTGGTTGCCATTGGTAGCTGGGTAATAGTTAAGAAAGGTTCTCTGGGAAGGTAGGGCAATAGGGCAACCAGAGAAAGTGCCTGGGAATTGGGTTCTAGGTGTAGGAGTGACTGGACATAGGAAAAGACTCCTAGTATGACCTCTCACTCTCGTGGTGACCACTCCTGGGACACAGGTGCAGTTAGGGACAGTGTAGAGCTCTTCCAGGGGGAGTGGGAAACTTCTAGGCAAACTCTCGGTTCAGGAGTCTCGTTGCGTTCCTTTCTCCAAGCATTTTTCCTGCCTCAGGGGACTGGGTTATGAAATTAATTTCTTGTTGGGTGGAGTGGCAGCCAGTTTTCATTTGTTCATTAATCTTTCTGATGATACTTTAGTTTCTTTTTATCGGAGCTCCAATATTTTTTAATATACTTGGTGAATTGGAGAGGGGAGAATCATTTTCATCAACTTATGCCACATGCCTATTATACATAGAGTATTTTGCTATAAACTGGGGCTTATGTTCCGATGATAAAAATGATCTCTTTACTACATGCCTAGCACAATTCTTGGAGCTAAGTATACAGTGTTAAACAGAAAAAAAATCCTTGCTCTCAAAGACTATCATCTAATGAGAACAAACAGATAAAAATAAACGAATAACTAGATATCGTCAAACAAACAAACAGATAGGTACATAGGTGAGTAAGGTCCACTACGTGATATGTGCTCAGAAGATCAAAAGCAGGGTGAGGTGATAGGGAGTGTTGGGGCGCTGCTTTATGTAGGGTGTCAGGGAAGGCCTCTGATGAGATGATATTTTAAGCCAAGATCTTAAAGAAGCATGGAATCCAGCCAGAGAGATGTCTGGGAGAAAAGCATCCCAGGCAGAGGGAATAGCAAGCGTACAAGCCCCGAGGTATGGATGTGACTCGACATGTCCAAGGACCCACCAGGAGGCCAGTGCGCTGGAGTAGAGACGCCGGGGCAGAGCAGTGGATGAGAGCAGAGAAGTGAAGGGACCCAGATCACATAGGGCCTTAGGGCCAGGGAAAACCGTTGGAGTGCATTCTAAGCGAGGTGGGAGCCGCTGGAGAATGGGGAACAAGGAGTGACATCTTCTGACTTAAGTTTTAAAAAGCTCACTCTGGTTGCTGTGAGAGAAGAGACTGGAGGGTGGGGAAAGGCAGGGGTGGAGGAAGTAGAGAGGGAGAGGAAGAGTGAAGGGAGAGAGAGCAGCAGGGAAGCGTTTGCAGTGGTCAGGAGTCTGGGGAGGGATGATGGTGGCTCAGACTAGGGGTGGGTAGCCACAAAGTAATGGATTCTGGACATATTTCGAAGACAGAGTCAAATTCTAATTCTCTCTGTAGAGATGTTTGATTTATTTAGTGTTAATCTCTAGGTCATAGGGGTTGGAAACTTGACAGTGATCCCTGGTAAAATTCTAAAACTGACTGAGCAAAAGATAAGAACACAAGTGACCTGTCGAAGCCAGCCTTGTATTCACGAAGAGTAAGTCATGCTTAAGAATTCTTTTCTTTCTTTAAGCTTTGTCATTTTACTTAAACTATAAAATCGGTACAAGTTTATTATAGGAATACAAGAAAATAAAGAAAACACCCTACACCACCCAGAGATAATTATCATATAGCACTTTGATATATATCAGGGCAATTCAGTTTTGAAAAGGTTCCTAGTCTGGAGGATCAGGAATATGCTATAAAGATAATGTGTCTTAAGTGCTAAAATTAGGTATTTAACATTTTCTCATGTGATCCCAAGACAAAGAAAATTTCGGGCTGGCCTTCATGTAGGTATTGGACAAGTACTGATTAATAGACCAGTGTTTATTTAGACAGGCTGTTTTTAGTGACATTATAGAAGGCCGCTCTTGGTTATGTTTTGTTTAACAATCTGAACATCAATTTGGATAAAGATATAGAAAAGACATGACTGTCAGATTTATTAATAGTGAATGCTTGCAAGTTGGAAAGTGTAGAAAATATTTAGACAATTGACACCATTGATTGAAACGAACTTTCAAGTTGCAAGGCAGAAAATAGTAAATAAAAATTAAGTTTAAACTTAACATGACACTTAAGGTGGGCCAGGTGCTGGTCTAAGTACTTAATTGACACCTACAGTCAGTCACCCTTTAAGATAGGTATAGAGAAGTCAAGTAACTTATCCAATATCACATAGCTAGTAAGTGGCAAAATCGGGGTTTGAGCTTAGGCTATCTGGCTTCACAATTTTAATCTTTAATCATTGTACCTTACTGCCTGCAAAAGAAATAAGAATTAAGCTCCATATTTAAGTTATCAAAATGAATTAGATTTCATAGCAATTTATTTGGAAAAAAATCATTGTGAACCTGCAAACTGGTAGTATTGCTGCCAGATTAGCTCATGCAGTCTTGGGCTTCATAATTAAAACTGGATCGACCAGGTCATCTTTCAAATCCACCCCCATCCCTTTACCCCATTGCTTCTGTGTTAGTTCAGGCCTTTATGCTGTCTCTTGCCAATAACATCCTGGTTTATCCTGTTAGAATGTTCTTTCAAAAATGCAGTTCTGATTGTGTTACTCCCTTGCTTAAATCCCTTTGTTTAAAACAGGTTGCAAATTTGCTTCCCATATCCACTTGCAGGCATGTTGGTGTGTGTTTTGGAGGGTCTATACGGTGGTGTTCTTTTTATTTCCTTTTTTTTAAAAATGGAAATAGTTGGCTACATTTCCCTCTTAGCCATCATCCTACTAGGCTCTCACATTATTGGCCTCAGCCTTTTGGCATTTGCATTTTTACAACCTTTGGCATAAAGGCTAAGTATCTTTCTTAAAACGTAGTGCCCAGATCTGAAAACCATTCTCCCTAGATGTAGTTTGGCCAGTACAGAATGCAATGAGACTGTTACTGTCCTTTTTTTCCCAAACATTCATAAGGTTCTTACCTCTCATCACAGTATTCAGCCCAGGACAGAAAAATAAAGATGACAGTTCTTGCTCTTATAGCTCAGAGCCCAGCAGAGGAATACAAATATATAAGCAAGTAAGTAAGTGTCATGGGTACAGTGGTAGAAGTATCTACAAGTTCTGGGTGGTGCATTTTGTTGGGGGAGGGGCTGTTAGAAAAGGCTTCAGAGGACAGGTGGCAGGAGTGAAATGTTCCATCAGAATGGGGCAGGGGAGGCTAGAAGGGAGAGGAGACGGGAGCAAAGTCAATTCCAAACTTGTTCCTCAAACATGAACACCTCGGCCTCTGCAAATGCTGTGAGATTTCAAGGACTTCCGTGTTACACGCTATCTACACTCCAGCCTTATCAGTTACCTGCTCTGCTCTTCCTTTTCTGGAAGTCAGCCCTGTCAATTACTTAAAATTCCCCAAATGCAGCATTGTTTTGCTTGCCCCTTCCCTCTGTCCCTCCCTTCCTTCCATCCATCCTTCCTTCCTTCCTTCCTGTAAACAGTTATTTTATATCCTTTATGTACCAAGACTGTTCAAAGTATGAGAAAGACAGCAGTATAAAACAGCTACAAATGCAAAAAGTCATGTTCCTGACTTGGATCTGACATTCTACTAAAAAGTCAGATGGTAAACCAGTTCACCAGTGATCAAGTAGTTAATATGTCTAAGAGGAAAAAAATAAGTAAGATATCTTACCTTAGAGCCATCTAAAAAGATGTAATGAGTTGCCCTGGGAGGAAATGAGTGTCCTTCCTGTCATTAGAGGTGTTTAAATAGGAGCTGAACGGATGACTACTTCCTAGATAACTTCTGCATTGAGTGGGAGTTTGGATTCAGATAATCTCTGAATCCTTCCAACCTGGGGAATCTGCATGCTAGTTGGACTACTAACCCTCATGTTTGTATATCTAAAATACATGAATTTGTGATTCTGGAAAAGATCATTTAAACCCAGTAATTAAATAGAAGCGCTCAGGAAGTGATGAGATGTGGACAGTCTAAGGTTTTAAGACATGTAACTAGAAATGGTCAGGAGGAAGCTGCTGAAAAATAGTTCTCCCATTTTCTTTTAGACCAAAGGTTGGCAAACATGGTCCACAGGCCCACTGCCTATTTTTGTAAATAAGAGTTTAATTGAAACATAGCCATGTCATTTGCTTATATATAGTGTTCATGGCTGCTTCATGCTACAATGGCAGCGTTAGAGTTGGGACAGAGACCTTAGGTCTTACATAACCTAAAATATTTACTAAAAAACTAAGTTGTATACTTGTATGCATACCGTCAAACTTTAAAGTATGTGTTCACTGACCCCCTGCTTTATGTGACTCTTGGGAACCGGAAGTGAATCATGGCAGCTGTGCTGGGGGAAAGGGTAGGGCAAGTTTGATTATGTCCTGTTACAAACCTTGCTGGCCTACTAGGACAGGAAGACCTAGCTTCCAAAGTGCTGGATCGGGCCACTTGGAACTGAATTCAAGAACTTTGGCAGAAAGGAGCCCTGAACGAGAGACAGTTGGCACTGTATCTCTCCACTGTGAATTGGAACTGAGCTAGACACCAGTGTGGGGGGAGGTCGGTGTTAAAGGATGGGGACGGTCCTCTTCTTCACTTTCCTATGATTTCTGAGGTTTGCTATAAACAATTTCCTTCCCAGACCCCACCCTTGGGCATAATTAATCACTTCTTCTAAGCTTCCAGTACACATATATCAGGTGGTAAAAGGTGCTAAACGAAAAAAGCAGGGCAAGAAAATGGGAGCAGAGGGCTGGGTGCTGTATTAGGTTAGGTGGTCAGGGAGGCTTCTTTGTTAATGGTTTATAATTGGCTCTGTCTTTTTGATTCCTTAAAGGCAAGGGTTGGGCGTGAAGGGTCTCTCTCTAGTACTTGGCAAAATGCTGGGTGCATCATAAGATGTTCCATAGATGTCAACTGAATAAATGAAATTTTACCTGGATAAACATAATGGGATGCAGGAGGCACTGGGAAGAGAGTCATCTACCCCTTTTCTTTGTGGATGGTCCCGGAGGAAGCAAAACATTTCTTTCTCTGGCTGTACTTAGGGCCAAAAGATCAGAGATAAGTGACATTCAGCCCATTTTCTGTCCATTTCCGTTTGCCCCAGGGTAGAGGGCTGATCTTAGTGAGGTGCTATTTTTAGGAGGATTCTGCTTGGTGACACTTTTCTTAGGTATGCACAGGACTTTGCAAAGTGCTTTTGCCGACTTCTTTTGCTGTGAGGTAGGTTGGATTGATGTTATTTTTTCAGAGGAAGGAACTGATGCATAGAGAGAAGATCAATGACTTGACCAAACTGGGTAGCATTCTTAAATGAACCAGGACTTGGGCTTAGAACTAGACTTGGGCTTGCCATTTGGCTATCCTTCTCACTAGCTGTGTGACCTTGGGCAAGTTTGAGGAGTCTTTATGCCATTAGGTTATTGTCAAGGTTGAGTAGAATAATAGTAGCTACTGTTGTGACTTACACGCAAAGCATTCCTCTAAGTGCTTTACATGTCTGCAGATTACCATATGGTCTTTGAATGGGTGAGAAAACCTCAGAGAAGTAATGTGTTTAAGAAAAAGTACATGGTAGAACTTGGATCCCTAGAAAAAGAATGTGTATTATATACTTAATTTATTGTCTGTGGTAGTAGTGCTCAATTCCTTGTTATCCTTTGTTCTGGTCTGTATGTAATCAGAACTCCTCACTTTGTAAAAACGCTCAAGACTTTGTAGGGAGATAATTTTACACGGTGGGAATAATCCTGGATAGAGAGTCAGGAGACTAAATTGCTGGAGAAATCGCAATATTTACTTCTGAGTCTCAGTTCCTTCACTTTTTATTTTTATTATTATTTTTTAAAAATTATTTTTTATGCCTACAGCACCTGGTCTTCCTAGGTGGTCTCCCATCCAAGTACTAACCAGGCCCAACCCTGCTTAGTTTCTGAGATCAGACGAGATCGGGCTTGTTCAGGGTAGCATGGCCATAGACCAGTTCCTTCACTTTTAAAATAAGGAGATTGGGCCAGATAGGTGGCTTATTTTAAATAACAGCGGTGGAACTATTTCTTCACAGTCTCATGAGGGAAGCCCAATATGTTAAGAGCTAAAACCAGTTGCTTTGGTTGACTAAGTGCTATATAGAGGCTCAGCCTGCTGCAACCTTCTCCCCTGCTCTTTTCCTCAAAGATGACCCCTGAGGGGATTTGCTGAGCCTAGTCTGAAAACCAGTGGGTTTTGGTGGTTTTAACCCTAAAACGATCTTTTAGCCGTTTTGACTCTGAAATCTCACCCTAAAGAGTGGAAAATCCAGAAATATTTTCCAGTGGTGTCTTATTTTTTTTTTTTTTTTTGTATTTATTTCCCATTACCATGGCATAGACCTGAAAGCCAGAAGGAGCATTGTCCAGCAGGGAAAAGCACTGTGATTGAGACACTGCGCAAGTGGCATAGGGCTTGGGATGAGATCATTGAGCATTATCACAAGACCTGAGATATCTGTGCTGCCTGTATCCGCTCTTGCCAATTGTTTTTTCCTTTG